CATGGTCTGGCCCCCCATTCGAACCTTTGAAGGGTCCGTCGACCATCCCCTAAGCTCCCACCCTCATGCGCCGCCGTCTCTTCTGATTCATCGTTCAATTGTTTCCTGCTGGATTGCCCAAGTGCGTTCAGTAACTCCTGCTCCTCTGGATCGTTCGTGCCTTTATTTCGGAACCCGATCGTGATTACTTGTTCCATTGTTTTCGTGCGAGTTTCCACGCTTGTTTTCGCAGTGTTCTTCGATACGCAATTATTTGCTGTTGATTTTTGTATCATAAACGATCGTTCAGTGTTTGTTAACCGTGCTGAAATTGTTGAATTAAATTTAATATTTGGCCGCGAACGTTTGATGTGGCGGAATCGTAAATTTTAACGGCGCCTGGATTTAAGATGTTCGAAGTCAAAGCGTAAGTTCATAACATCTACGTTTACCTACTAGAGACGGTTCATCAAATATTTGCAGTATGGCTTATCCCGTCTGATGTTGGTTTTATCTTAAGGCTCTTTGCCTTTAAAACGTTCTGGGATGGGCCACTCAGATTGCGGTTTATCGGCTATAAATTCGAATTTTGCAAATTTCGGTTCGATCTAAAAAGTTATTTCATGGCATGTTTGTTGTTTGCTCAGTTTACATTTCCTTTCACATTTGCGTTCATGTGCCATGAATGTTCGGGTCTTGGCAGCACAAACAATTCCAAAGTAATTTCTAAACCTTCACTGGGAAATTCAGTTGATTCCAACAGGCCAACTTGATCTTTTGCCTGCTTGCACCGGGTATACTACCTCAAGAAATAACTTTGTTGCCCACCAACATCTTTTTAGCAGTTTTTGGTCCATTTTGCGCAAAAAAAACGCTTTAAAATGCACTTTGGCTTTCGCACGGCTTGGGGAAGTTTGTCAAAGAGCTACGGCCCGGTGGCTGTAGGGCGATTTGATTCAGTTCGATTTTGACCAGTTGAAATAGAGCTGTGAACAACAGTCAACAGAGTGAAGTTTTGATGAAAATAGAAACAAAATAATTTTCACTGAGACAAGGAAAACAATTAAGTTGTGACAACATTGCCTCCGTCCGTTCGATGCCCTCTCGAAGCACAAACTTCCCCATCAGGAAACCCATTGTCGCATTGTTCCGTCTCTCTCCCGTTCCCGTTTGTGTTTTCACGAAATGATGGATTTTTGTCATTGGGGGTGTTTGCACGAACAGTCGCACTGATATAAAATAGTCGCTGAAATCGCTGTAGCTGTTGAGTGAATCGATCAAAGTCCGACTATTGCTGTTTTTCCGCAGCTGTCAACAAGTTTCAGGCAGCAACAGGAAACTTGGCTAGCTTAGTATCGCTGCTTTATCCTGTTTGAAACGCATCCTCTTCTGTCGCTGTTTTGAGTCGATGTTTATTTTAGAATTTTCAGGTGATTTTTTGCTGTTTTTTTTGTAATGTTGGTTTAGTTTTCTTCATAAATGAATACTATAATAAATAAAAAAATAAAACACCAAAGTAGTTCCTGAATGTACCAAACTGTGTTAAAATAAGAGAACGCGTGAGTTTAAGAAAAACATTTCTTTGCAATGAAGGAAAATATTACAGTATGCATAAGAAGGACAGTGCTATTTCCGTCTGTTTTTTCTTCAATCGCTCCTGCTTTAGCTGGGAAATTCAATTTTTTGAAGGAAGAAAGCGTTGAGTAAAAACATCCATTTTGGGACCGATTTTCCTAAGCTGGAACTCCGAGCGAATTTCATGAAACTTTCCGAATCTTTAGAGTCAAGTCTCTTCTAAAGATGGTAAAAATATCAAACAGCTACTAGTTTTAGTTAGGAAGATTACAATTTTTAAAGAAAACAGTGCAGTTGAGTAAAAAAACATTCATTTTGAGACCGATTTCACTAAGCTGCCAAAAATCAGAACTCTGAACGAAATTCATAAAACTTTCATAATCTTTAGAACCAAGCGTCTTCTAAAGATGGTGAACATTTCGAACAGCTACTAGCTTTAGTTGGCAAGATTAAAATTTCTATAGAAAAGAGTGCAATTGAGCAAAAACATTCATTTAGAGACCGATTTCACAAAGCTGCTAAAAATCAGAACTCCCAGCCAATTTTATGAAACTTTCACAATTTTAAGAGTCAAGTGTCTTCCAAAGATCCAAGAAAGTCTGAAGACTTTAACTAAATTGTATGTTGACAGAAAAAATCAAATCTCGGGCGAATTTCATGAAACTTTCAGAATCTTTAGAGTTAAGTGTCTTCTAAAGATGGTGAAAATATCAAATCGCTACAGGCTTTAGTTGGAAAGATTCAATTTTTTAAAGAAGAGAGCGCAGTTGAGTAAATCATGACCGATTTTACTAAGCTACCAAAAAATCAGAACTTTGAGCGAATTTCATGAAACTTTCAGAATCTGTAGAGTCAAGTGTCTTCTAAAGATGGTGAAAATATCAAATCGCTACAGGCTTTAGTTGGAAAGATTTAATTTTTTAATGAAGAGACATCGCAGTTGGGTAAAGACATGACCGATTTTACTAAGCTACCAAAAATCAGAACTTTGTTTGAACTTAGTTGTTTGACCGCTATTTCTTCCTAAACTGGTCCAGCTAGAAAGTGACTTTTGAATGGATTTTGTTGAGCGACTCATTTATGTAGTAAGTAAGGAAAGTTTCGATTTTGAGTCGTCATCAGGAAATTTCCAAATTTTTGTAAAAAGTTTGGCTTTTATGTATTTTTTTCATACGGTACTTTTGTAGGCATTTTGCCGGGAAAGTTTTCGTCCATTTTTTTAGAAATTCGTTTGTCCTCACCGCCTATGTCGCAACAATGTCCCCAGAAACTAGTCAATTTAGGTATTGAGTCTGTATGACTTTTTTAGTGCGTTTTGTGAGTGGTTTTTTCAGTCATCGTGAAGCAATTTTTGCGAAGTTTTTGCCGCTTAGTCTTTTCTAAAAGATATCATTCGAGACTATTTTTAGACTCATTCAAAGATTCATTCGAATGGCTAAATTGCCTCATCTTGTCTCGATTTCTTCAATCTCGAGGCTCGTAGTGGCAATGTTAACTACTGAAGGGCTGTTGAAGATTGTTGAGACGTTCAGATACGAAAATTCGGCAATCGTTTTAAACTGTTTTATTTACCAGCAGATTTGAAACAAATCGAAGCATCTGAAGGTTTTTGCAGATGTTGGCACTTTTTTTAAAACTCACAAATTTCAAAGTAGGTACCACAAATGCCAACTTAAAAGTTTTGCGAGATGCAACTAATCCATAAAGCTTCAAATGCTGTAATTTTCAGTATAATTGCATGCAATTCTCATTTTTGCGATCTTTCTAAATGCAGGTGTCCAACATCTGACTGGAAACTTTGTTTTTGCGACTTGCATTTACTAAGCTCGTAAAAAATTGAGATTTAGAGCAATTTCGATAGGGATCTTAGGATCCAGACTTTGAAAAATGTGCTATTGATTGTGAAACTTTCAACTCTCTACTGATCCTAATTTGGAAGTTACGAATTTTTAGAAAGGAGCGAGTGTCTAGATGAACACAGTCAATGTGGACAGTTCAGCATTTTAAGGCTTGCATTGACAAAGTGCCCAAAAACCAGAGTTTAAGGGCACTCTTAATGAAAAGTACTATATTTAAAGCTTTGAGTATTTGCTGTATATGGGAAAAGTTTCAAGTTTGAAGTCGCTGTACTTTGGAAGTTGGGAATTTTGAAACATCTGAGTGGAAACTTTGTTTTTGAGACTTGGATTTACTAAGCTCGTAAAAAAATCATGGTTGTAGCAATTTTGATAGGGATTTTAGGATCGGGAGCTTGAAAAGTGTGCTATTGATTGTAAAACTTTCAAGTTGCTACTGGTCCTAATTTGGAAATTATGAATTTTTAGAAAGGAGCGAATGTCTAGATGAACACAGTCTATGTGGACAGTTCAGCATTTTAAGGCTTGCATTGACAAAGTGC